TATATAGTATAGATACTATAAATATAGTTTTTTATACTGTACCCAATGGCATGCCAAAAACAAATTTGGCATGCTACCATTGGCATGCTTTTGCCACTATGCCAGACACTTTATTTACAATCCATATACAGTTGCTTATTCCAGCTAATCGCCTATTATCCCGTTTAGAAAGCCTATTTATTTTTGTAAACAAGGTAAACAATATCTAACTGTTTTGGTGATTTATATATCAATCTTTTGGAGGGGGTAAACTGAAATGCCCACTTTTGACAAAATTTTTCTCGAAAAAAAGTAGTGGGTCAACGAAGCTTTTCTGTGGTTGTTTCTTGTAGGTTTTATAGTTGTATAGGTACCTAAAGTTTGGAATACTCCTGATATCGACCTAGTCATTCTGTGTTTCCAAAATATCCTTTTGGTTTGGATACCAAATATAATAGAGAAGTCCGTCGCAGAAAAACTTGATCTCTACAAAAACCAGTCTAAAGTAGTCTGCTCCTCGGTTTTATACTCTTGGTACTTTGTTGACAACACACCTACTTTTGTAGAACCAGGTTTATTATTTACTTTAGCATCTTCTATAGTGCTGACTGTAGTTCGGTTTCTTAATTTTTGTTGACCAGATGATCATCAGAAAGAGTTGATGTGTACTATCTTAATAAAAAATATAAAAGAAATAATATCGTTATTGGGCCCAAAGTATGCTTTAGTAATATCTTAAGATAACAAAGCACAAATACCTTTTGGTTAGCTGCAGCCAACAAACAAGGTCATTATAATCTAAAATAGAAAAAATTATAATTTAAAATATAATAAATAAAAAATAAAATCTAATAATAAATAATCTTGTTTATATAGCACCAATTCTTATAAGACTGAAATATCAAATAGAACTTCTGGATCATAACTTGGTTGTTGCTGAAAAGCACAAGCTGATTCTATCAGTTTGTGTAATATTAGATATACTAGAGAGTAAGTATGGGCATGCTGATATAATAATATATTTGGGTCTAATGTTTATAAGAATCTGTAGTGATAAATATGATAGTAGTACCACATATTCTTATAGAAAAAATTTCGATGACCTTATGAGTAAAGAGCAATTGTGTAACTATATTACAACAATAGACAAACAATCTAAACCTGTAGTAGTACTACTAAGCGATAGTGATCTCAATGAGAACTCCTGATATGGAAAGACAATTCAAATAATGATTAAACATTTTGATAAATATGATCTTGACTTGATACAATCATTGTAGCATGCTTCATATCATACAAGAGTGCATCAAATCCAGTTAAAAGACAAATGGCATCTCTAAGTTATTTATACTCCCATATGATACTTTTGGAACTTATTTAAATTCATAGTTAAAAACAAATGATAATAAATTAGAGAAACATAACTTTAAAGCAACTAGAGATACTTTAATATCAGTATAGAAAAATACAATTATAGATCGCTACCCGGTTCTTGTTAAATATATAGATCTTTCTGAAAAACATTACTACTCAAATGAAAAATCAGAAAGTTGGATAGAGAAGCATGTAATAACTAGTTGTTATATAACTCAAGTTATAAAATATAACAATCAAAGCTATTGCAAGCTCTTTCAGAGTAGACTCTGTTAAATTTTACCAAATCGCTTTTTCTCTACCAATTATAATTCAACAAAAGCTTAATAATATTTGTATAACAACTATGAATATATATGATAATACAATTCACTATTTCAATTTTCTTTTATCTATATTAATAAAAAGAAAATTAATTTCTCCAGATATAAATTTATGGTGCTTTCTTTTTAATTAGTACTGCTTAACTATCAACAAATCGATTAATAAGTATATTTGCCTCTATTGTAATCGGTACTTTGTTTTAAAAAGAAACTTGAAATACCATACTCAAAAATATTCATATAGAAGTCTAATTTATCTGTAGAGCCTTCTTCGGATATTCAAAATTTCTAAATAAACAATGATATATTTGTTCACAACTATCGACATAGTGAATTTTTGGTTAGTAACAAAAGTAATGAAGCTATATGGGTAGAAGAAGCATCAGTACCCAATTGTATATCAGAAATCTATTATCAAAAAATATAGGTTTGAGAAAAGTTGGCTGCAGATAAAGTGTTAATAGTTAACTGAGATACTTGGAAACAATATAAATAAACAAATAAATGAATATATTTATATATAACAGATACATACATATATATATATATATATTAAATTTGTTACCTAATTAAAAAAAGTTATAAGGGGCATGCCATTTATCACATAATATTTTTTACTTAGTAGCCACCCCCATCCATGTATGGTGTGATCACCCTAGCTTGAT